CCCCAAAACCCCAAAACCCCAAAACCCCAAAACCCCGTCTTCAGGTAATAATTTTGAATCCTATTTTTCCTACATTTTGGCATAATAATTAATGGCTGGCCTTAATTGCTCTTAGAGGAGAGTTGAAGCTTACGGCTAATTCTCTTGACTGCTTCGCAACAAACAATGCAGAGGATGGTGTCAATAGTCAAGGCAATGATGATCTTCTGTTGGATTGACTCATTTGGGAATGGAACTAGCTCAAAGTTCTCACGAATAGTGTCTGAGAAGTCAAGGATAGCCACCAGAGCAATACCATACATAACCAAGATTCCTTTGAATAGTTTAGAGTTTTCCTTGAATGACTGCATGAATGGAGCTCCTTCGTAGTTTACTAGGAATGTGGTCGCTGTCATTGTCCAAGAGTAAAGGAAAACCACATTGTTTTTAAGATTTGGTTTGAAATCTGTATCTGGCTTTGTTGATTCATCACGGATAATGAATGGATCAGTTGCACTCACAATGTATACCAAAGTCACAAAGTGGAAGGTGAATTGTAAGAGAACTGAAATTACAATGCTAGGGGAGAAAATACTCTTTGGTGGTCTTAGCTTTGATAGGTTTTCTAGGGGTTTACTCAGGGAGATTAGTAAGAAAAGAATACCCATTGCCATTCCAAGCATCGTCATTTGAAAATCTCCGTTTTTAACACCATCAAGATAGAGTGTACTCATCGAATATGCTGAAATCATTGAGTTCAGAGCGAGAATCTTGTACATTTGATAAGTAGTAGTTATAGTAGTCCTTCCTTGGCTGATTACAGTGTTTACACAACTCATAGACTCAAATTTATAAGTAAAGGGAGCAGCAATACATGCATCTCCAAGTTCCGCCATAGTAGAATCCATCATAAGGTCATTCATGTTGCCAAAAGGTGATCCCTTTTTGCCCTTATTCTGTTTCATATAAAGCTGCATATGCTCTTGCTGCTTCTTTCTGATCTCTGCCATTGACATTCTTTGGTAATCTTGCTGGCTTGGCCACCATATTGGAGACTTAAGTTTGGGCTCTTTCTTTTCTTCTTCAACTATCTCTCCATCTTGCTTCTTTTCCTCTTCTTTTTCTTCTTCCTTTTTCTTGACCTTCCCATTGAGGACCGCGATTCCTATTGTGGCGCTTTTAAGTGATCCGACGTCATTAGTACCATCTCCACACATTGCAGTGTATTTACCCAGTTTGTTGATCATTCTGATGATATAATCTTTCTGGGCTGGTGATGTCCTTGCAAACACGTGTATATTGTATATCAAATTTGAAATATCTTTAGGGTCCATCATGGAAATAACAAGGTCCAGCTCTTTCCCTCCGATGCAAAGGATATAGCTCTGGGACATCTTTTCAATAGCGATAAAGTTCATCAGCTTGAAGTGGCTTGTGCTGACATTGTTATTGTCGTAATCCATCCAGTTGATGCACTTTTTCTCCTCATCAATTTTTGCAAACGCAACTGATTCTTCCTTCTCGTCTTTGTCATTATTCCTGACAATATTGAGCTTGGAAGCAACATAAGCAGCAGTCAGGATGTTATCCCCAGTGATAATCTTTACTTTACAATCAGCATCAATGATTTTATTGATATGTTCTTTAGTGTCTTCCTTCATTGGACACTGGAAGATGAGGAATCCATCAAATTCTAGATCCTTCTCAGCCATTTCCCTCTTAATTTTATCAGCCTTTAGATTGTCTGGTATGATCTTATGAGCCATTGCAATGACTCTGTAGCCGTGCTTTACATAATAATTGCAGTATTCCTCATATTTCTCAGGGATATTGGAGAGCAATTTGCTGATGACTTCTGGAGCTCCCTTACACAACACCTTAGTTCTCTGGCTCTTACCTTCTTTAATCACGGAAATAGTAGACATCCTTTTGAGAGTAGAGTCGAATAAGAATTTCTTTTGGGTTGAGATCCTAACTCTCCCTCCTGGAACTTGGAACAGGTTGCTATTTGGCTCGATCTCCCATTTTATAGCTTCAAAGGCACTCTTCTCAAGTGGGTCTCCGATGAGTTTTCCATCGACCTGAGCGAGAGTATTACATCCTCCAATTATATGGATAGAATGGATGTTTTTACTTTCTAATTCTTTGATGGGAAGAATCTCTTTTCCTCAGTTAGGGTCGATACCTACTCAGCCTTCAACAATGAGCTCATCTGCTGTAAGAGTTCCAGTCTTGTCATATCATCAGACATCTATCATTCCTGCTAAAGGAAGTCTGTAGGGTTCAGTGCAGAAAATAAACTTTTTGATAATCTCCATCATTGAATAATTTACTGCTAAAGAAAGTTCCATTGGAAGTTCTGGAGGAACGACTGAAGTCAAGATTATAATACATCTTAGCAGTAACTTGTATTTGTTCCTGCTCTCATCTCTTAGTCCTTCGTTTAAGACATATCCAGAAGAAACACATGCAAATATAAAGAGGATAAATAAGAACACGTATGCTTCTTTGCTTTCAACTGTTGCTCTTCCAGTGGTGTCAAGAATTGTTCTCATCAGTTTACCCTTTTTGGTTGCGAATCCGTTTCTGAGGACATATCCTACAATTCCGTTAGCTGGAGGTTTCGGAATATGCTTAGGAAGCTGAGGCATGGCATAGGTCTGTACAAGTTCAGTCCCCCCATTAAGTATATGCATCTTATGTTTTTCGACAACATCTAACTTCTCATTAGGGTCGCGATATGTGATAGATTCTTTTACTTGAGGGACTGATTCACCTGTCAAGATAGATTCGTCAACGATTCCGTTCCCATGAAGCACTAGCATATCGCATGGAATATAGTTCTTCTGTTCAGGTTCTTTTTTATCTTTCTTCTTATCTTTATCATTTTTCTTATCGTCCTTGTTGTCCTTGCTTTCTTCTTTAATTGCTTTCTTTTCTTCCTTTTTAGCCTCTTTCTTAGTCTTCTTTCTGTTAGTATTGAGCAGACATATATCTCCTGGGAGAAGATCTTGGGATGAGATGAGAACCCATTCTTCCTTCCTTAACACGTAGAGATCGAACGGGTGAATCCTCATTGCTCTGAGTCTCTCCATGTTCTTCTTCCTTTGGAATACGACTGTGCTTTCAGCAAACATTAATAATGCCAAGGTAAAAAGGGAGTAGTACCAGTACTCGTCCATCAGCCATAGTAAGGTACAGAAAATCTGGAATACAAAGAATGGAGCAACCATATGCTCCTTGAAAATTTCTGAGAAGTCAGGCAAGGGGATTTCCAGTTCATTTATTCCATATTTTTCCTCTGCTTTTTCAACCTCTCTGTTCTTCATATATCCTGTTTGCTTGCTGTAGAATTCGAAAGTCTCGTGCTCAGGGAATTTTAGGCCATGAAAGTCGTAGTCTCCTTCTTGGTTCTTGCCGAAAATAAACTTTTTCTTCTTGTATTCGATGTAACATTGGGAGTCATCTGTGTTGGAATAGCTATCTTCGAAATACAAAACAGGAACTATTGCTGTGTGCGTAGTATGCTGCTTCTTGTTAAATGCCTTGACATATATATGAGTTGCATGCTCGATGTCGCTGCAAGTTGAATACTGGAACTTCGCCATGATCGCATTTGACCAGAAGGGCAGGAAGAACAAGAGCATATGGAACGAGCAGAGTCCCATTAAGGAAAAATTTGCCGCTAAGTCTTCTGAGTCAAACACCCTCATCTCGAAATAGTAGATATAAGCAGGGATGGTGAAGTACAACAAGATTATGTCAAGTCTGAAGTACTTGCTGCGCTCTCTCAGGTACGAGAAAGCATATTCCATGTCTGAAGCCATTTCAGATATGCTTATTTTATATTTTATCGATCATCTTATCAATTTAAAATAGCGTTTTGGGGTTTTGGGGTTTTGGGGTTTTGGGGTTTTGGGGTTTTGGGGTTTTGGGG